GGGGGGGGGGGGGGGGGGGGCCGGCCTCGCAGCGCGTAGCTTTGCGCTGCCTCTACGGAGCTCTCGAGGAGGCCCTCGTGGAAGAAGTGCACCTCCTCACTGTGGTGCTCGGCCACGAAGTGCTGCAGACGAGCATCCAACCTTGGGGGGAAGAGAACACAAGGATAAGAAGAGAAAGAGGAAATCGTCATCTCTCGTCTTCCGAGCCTTCTCTCTGGATCGCTTCAGTCTAAACCGATCGGAGAGGCTTGACACGCTGCCGGATCTCCAGGTGCAGGTGGCCGACGGCCCCAGTCTCGAAGAGTGCCATGCTCTGCTTGTGCGAGGCCACAAAGACATCGTGCATGTTGGTTGGGTCGCACGGCAGCTTCTCACAAATTGGCCGCCACAGCTGCTCCAACTGCTTGCCCGTGGAATGCATCGATGAGTTCACCCCATGAGCATTCAGGATGCGGTGTGTTGAGGCCGTTGCACGTTGAAGTGCGCTGGACATAGCCAACGCTTCAGCATGTACTGAGCCCTCTGAAGCCCTGGCTTCTCGTTGCAGGAATGCTGGTGCAGCGAGGGCATGCGGGTCCGCCTCTTCCAAGCCGTCACAGCGCAGCTCTGCAGGGATGGTCCTATCCTCGTCTTCATCCCCTTCTTGGATGAGGGCGCCCTTGAGGAGTGGCCACGTAATTTCCTCAAAGCGAGCAACTTGCTCGGTGATGGAGGCAAAGGTCTCCATATCAACCTCTGTGGGCACAGCTCTTTGGAGGATGCACTGTGCGATGGTAATGCACTCGGAAATAACGGCTTCGCTCCCGAATGGGCAGTACCTCTGGCCAGATTCCGCAGTCATCTTCTCGCGCAACACCAGAAAGAAACCGTGCACCTTGTCAAGCAGCATCTCCCGGTCCTGTTACGGAACGTGGCAGTATGAAAACACCCACAAGTAAAGCCTGACGTATCCTGTGCAGACTCACTCGCAGCGCTTGGAGCCCCACGGCCGTGATGTCGCCGAAGGCATGCACGATACCAGGGCTGTGGTGGCCATTGCGAAGTAATGTAGAGATGTTCGTCAAGTTCAGAAGCACGATGGGCATCGCGGTCACCAGGTCTGTAGACTTGCCCAGCTGAATTACTTGCCGTTGCTCCGTCTCCTGCTCTTGTTTCAGCATCTCCTGAGACAAAGAGCTGGCTCTCAAGACGATAGACTGTACCTCAAAGACCCTCAGGCATTCTAAAAGCGGCATGGCCGAAAAGCACGCGGCTCGCCTGGTCAATCATCGTCTCTGAGCCGATGGAAGCTTGAAATTGTTTGCCTTAGCGGTCAGGCACACAGCCGCAGGACCGGAGCCTTGCTCTGCTTTGTTAAGTCTTGTAGCCAAAGCCGTCTTCCAACATGACCGGGGATGCATAGCAAGGCACAATCATGGAAAAGGTGGCATCCACCACTGGCGGGATAGAAAACAGCTGCATGGCAAGTCTCCTCAAGCTGCTCGGCTTCATCATGCAATGCGCAGGACTCTGGGCTTCCACAGCTCCTTGGGACAGTTCGGCGCCTTCTCATTACTGGCGCACTTCCTCGGATAGAAATTGCAGCTTGAAGAACAACAGGTTTGAGAGGGCCGCTCTACTGCTTTTTTGGGCAAGAATCAATTCGCACTCTTCCGCAGTGAGCCCCTCCCATCCGACGCAAGACTCCTCCAGGTTCTTCGTGTAAGGGGTCCCCACGCACGTCTTCTTGTCAAAGACGGTAAACTCACGCTCGGAGCCGTCCGACGACGGCTCCGTCGCTTCAAGCGGCAAACGCCGGGAAGTCTTTGCTGCGATGGCGCTCAACGCCTGCACAGCCAAGATCCTGGCAGGGCAAAGGGAAGCTGTTGTCCGCGCACAAACCTCGAAGATACCTGATGTCCTCCAGATTAGCTGCATTTTGATGGATGAAGCCAGCCCAAGACTGCAAATTTCCTGAATCTGTACAGCCAGAAAATGACTGATGGCTCTGAGCCACGTTGGCAGCGTGGCTGGGCGATTTCGACACAGAAACCAATGACGGAACATGCGCGAGAAGCTACTTGCAACCTCTGCTCATGCACTCTTGAACTTTCTTCGCAGCGACTTTCCTACATTCTTCCCTTGCCACGGCACGTCTTAAACTCGGTCGCACAGCCACAGAAAGCCTGCTCAAGTCTTTATGCCCAGCAATGGCACCATCGCACCATGACACGTGGGAAAAACAATGAATCCAGAAGTTACCAAAAATTAGATCGCGATTTAATTGTTCGATTTTGACGTACCTCTCCAAAGCACAAGTAAATCATGATTTAATTGTGTTTCTATGCATTTCTCTAATAAACAATTAAATCTTGATTTGATTGGTTAATTTGGCGCTCCTCTTGGTAACCACCAGTAATGTAGTTAGTTCCAATCGTGTTCGAAGGAACGCTACCGGGATACCACGTTAAATCATGATTGGATTGCGTAATTTGGCGTCCTTCTCGTGGTAATCACAAGTAATGCTGAAGTGCATGCTTCCTATGCAGCTCATGCCGTGTGTACATGTCTGTTTTTCCCTTTTTGCTCGTAGGCCAAGCACAGTAGGTTTTGAGCAATGCCTTTACAATCGTACATTTCACACACTAGGTGCCAAGCCCTAGCAAGTAGCACGGACTTCAAGGGTTCTTCTTCTTTTGCTTGCGTGTAAAATCTCCGCGCGTTTGGTGAGCCATGGCAGGTTTAGGAGCAGGGGACCTGATCACTCCACTTGTTTCTGCACAACCTGCTGGGGCATCACCTCAGCAGGTTATGAGCCCAACGCTT